TGCATTGGGAGTTATACCTGATGTAAATGACGAGTTGATGGGTGCTGACGAGTTGATGGGTGCAGCACAGCAACATGACACAAGTATACATATGTAACAAACCTGCACGTTATGCACATGTACCCTAGAACTTAAAGTATAATAATAATTAAAAAAAAAACAAAAAAATTGTTTAACTATAATGTTGATGGCAAAAAAAAAAGATTCCCACCAGGGGCCACTGTCTGTGTGGAGTTTGCATGTTCTCTCCATGTCTGTGTGGGTTTTCTCTAGGTACTACAGTTTCCTCCCATATCCCAAAGCTGTGCGCATTAGGTGAATTGGTGTGTCTAAATGGTCTCAGTCTGGGTGAGTGTTGGGGTGTATGTGATTGCACCTCACAATGGAATGGCATCCTGTCCAGGGCTGGGTTCCTGTCTTGTCCCTGAGCTGCTGGGATACACTGGCCACCAGTGACCCCGAATTAGAATATTTGGGTAATTAATTGTCTTACTTTTATTAATCTTTCTTAAATGTACATATAGCTCACATTTATTTCAGTGTTTAATATTGTAAGTGTTTTGGTCTCTATTTAGAAGTTTGGTGATTTTTTTTTTTTTTACTAGAAATATCCCATAGGAACTTAACTCTTAATGGCAAAATGAGTTTTGTTCTATGTCATCGTTTTGCTTAAAGTTGCAGTTTCCAAGAATCCGTGATGTGATGTCAAAAACATTGCTCCTTTAGTGGTTTGTGGCAAAGGAAAAAGTATCATTATCTTGATTCTCCTTTTTTTCCCTAGGCATTTTTATTACCAATTTGTGAAGCAGCAGCTATGAGAAAAGTGGTAAAAGTGTATCAAGAATGGATCCAACAAGAGGAAAAACCCTTGTTCATGCAAGAGCCTGAAGAAATTGGGATCACTTCTTCAGACCTCCCTTGCATTGAAAATGTCACAGACCATGATACTTCAATGGAGGAAGGAGAAAAAAGAGAAGAGGTAAAGTTATAAGATTTATATATTTTAGTGTTAGTCTAATAGATTAAGACTTTTGCAGAAACATAATGGGTTAACACAAATATACTTATTAAATGGGAAGATAAATATATCTTTCCGTGTATTTTGTAACAATTTAGGTAATATAACAGTAGTCATCTCAATACTGTGGAGGAAAGCCCTGTGATACCACAACTTTTAAAAATTAATACTGAGGTTGTATACTGATTCTTTAAGCCATTGTCTAGATAAAAATTATATACTATTATAAAGGTATAATATTTCAAACTGTGATACTACATCAAAATGGATTTTAAAATACATACTTTTGGGGGGGTTATTACCAAACCACAATTCCTCCTTCCCTGGAAGGAGTAACTGTTTAGGAGTGGCTACCCAGCACAAGCCATAATGTTTGTGCTCCCTCCTTGGAATCTTTTGCACTAGAGCTGATTTCAGAATGTGAAACTTCTTGACTTGGTAAAATAAGTTCTTTTGTGATAAGAAAGACTAGAGTTTACTCACAGCGGGGAAACGGTGAGGAAAGAGAGAGTAGTAGAGGTGGCATTTGGGTCCCTGGTTCCATTTTTTCCTTTGGTTGTTCAACCTTTGTCACAGGTCAGGCTCTCCAACAGCAGATGCTAAGATGGAGTTAGGAGTGCAGAAAGTTTATTGAAAGTGATTTATCTGTTTTGCCTGATTTGCCTTTCACCATAAAGTTGTCTGCAATTGATACCTATCTTGCTAAATCTAGATAGGAACGATTGAGTAATGTTTATTCACTTTAGTGGTTAATCTAACCTCATCAGTGGAATTTAGTCAGGATACTAATGTATGAATGAATAGGCCAATTCTGTAGGGATTTGATGAGCCTGAGCATTTGTGTATGTATATATGTGTATATGTATGTATACACACATACGTAGAGCACCCTCCCCCCTTCTAAGAAAGGGAAAAATGTAACTGAGAAATATAATTGAAGTAAATAAAATTAACCATATAAATTATGAAATAATATCTACAGTCCTAATTCTTACACAGCAATGAAAAATATCAAATTTATTGATATTTTTATGCTGGAAAATAAACCTATGAGTTTAAAAATAATTTGCCTTCCCTGACCTTTTTAGTCATGATGTGCCATATATAATGAGCCTACCCCACATCATTTACTATTCTTAAATAAGAATGATGGATAATATAAGCTATCTACATGTATAATTGAAAAACAAACAATGGAAGGAATGAAAGAGGGGAAAGGGTAGATTGGTGGTGTTAGGTGTGCTGTGTAGGTTTGTTCTATTTGTTACTCAAGTACTGTGACCAGCACTGACTGCCATTAGAGATGTAGTTTTTCAAAGTGACAGCAACTCTTGCAAATGACGTGGACCAAACCCAAAAGGTATAATGTATTGGTTTACATTTCTGATACACTGAATATATAAGGGAGTCATTTAAATTTTTGGTGTTACAGTTATAAAGTGGAATTATGTTATAAATTCAGATAATTGTAAATGAATTTTTAATTTTATTTTTTATTGTTGTTATTATTTTGAAACAAGGTTTTCCTCTGTCACCCTGGCTGGAATGCAGTGGTGTGATCTCAGCTCACTGTAACGTCCACCTTCCGGGCTTCAGCCATCATCAACCTCAGCCACCCGAGTAGCTGGGACTACCGGCATTCGCCACCACGCCTGGCTAATTTTTTTGTATTTTTAGTAGAGACAGGGTTTCACCATGTTTCTGAGCTGGGCTTGAACTCCTGAGCTTAAGTGACCTGCCCACCTCAGCCTCCCAAAGTGCTGGGGATGACAGGTGGGAGCCACAGCACTGACCTAAATAGACTTTTAAAATTCTCATAGTACCTGTGAGACATTTGAAAGGCATACAGAATATAAGACAGTTTCTTTTTGTGTGTGTGTAGGACTGTCATGTGCTGTGTAGGATGCTTTGCATTCTCTGTCCTATTTTGTTAAATTCCAGTGGTATCTTTTAATTCTTGTGACAAGAAAACACTCACAAATTTCAAACTACCATACAAAGCTTTTGGTTGCCCATATTGAGAACAAGTGTTGGAGGTAGAAACATGAGCAGACATTATTTCTACCTTCACATAACTTCTGGTTTAGCCGGAAGACAAACATACAAAGTAAGTATTATAAGACAGTGTTACTGCTATGATCCTAGAGCATGAAAAAGAGAATACCTAACTCTGCTTGGGGAAATCAGGGAATGCTTTATGGAAGAGGTAGTATAAGATAAAAGAGCAGGTAGGCAAATAGGAAAGGTGACACACAGTGTGAATGGCATCTACAAAATGTATTAAAAACCTTGAAAATATTTCTATTTGGCTGCAGCGTAGAGTAGATGAGACAGAACAGCAGGAAATATGAGATAGACAGGATTAGATTCTGTTCAGTAACTTGTATGCCATGTTAGTAGATTTTAATTACATTCTAGAAACTGGAAAGCCTTTGAAGGCTTTTGAGTAAAAGAGTAGCATGAATAGTTACATACTTCAGAAGGTCATACCAGGCCCAGAATGGAGGATAGATTATAGGTCAGTCTGTAGGCCAGGAGACCAGTTAGGAAGGATTAGCAAAGTTCGAAAGTGAGATGATAAGTACCTAGGACAGTAGTAGTTGCAGTGGAAATATAAGGGAGAGGACAGATACATTAGTGTCTTTGAGGAATGGGGAGGTGTCGCAAGTTTCTTTCTTTTGCAACCGGAATTGTTGCTATTCACACATGGATGGGAATTTTAAACAGCTCAAGTTTGGTGATGGCTAAGGCAGCTAGAGGGATTGGGTTGGCAGGAATGGGGAGAATCTGATTAATAAACTTATTTTTAAATATCTTAAGTTTGAGATGCTTGTGGGTCATTCAGGAAGAGCTCTTCAGAAGACATTTGATTACAGGGACATGGAGCTTAAGAGAAAGGCTAGACTAGACCATGGCATGTTGTATTGGCTACTCAGGGCAGGGTTCCAGTACTGTTTCTGGTAATGGCAGAGCTGTTTGTATTGGACTAAACCTCTTGCATATTACAAACCCTATATAAAATATTTTTGTAAACCTTAACTAGTTAAAGATACTGGTAAGTGACAAGAAGGGAAAAACTGGAGGGACACTTTAAAAAGAGAACTACAGAGTAGCATTTCTGTTTGTGCTTTTTAACTGAGGGAACTGCCTTGTCTCTAAGACTTGTTACAGCTAAAATGCAAGCAGAAAGCTGTCGTCTCAGTGATTTGAAGTTTCAGTATTCTTTGAATAATAAGAATTTTAGTACTCCTAAGTAGGATAAACGTAAGTCATTTTCTTTGTCATTTATTTGGATTCTGACATTTAATTTAGAACAGAATTCATCTTTTTACAAAGCTGTAGGTAGTATAATCCCATTCTTGAATGTGTGAGAGTATGAAAGGGAGGTTTATACATTAGACCTATAGGAGAATACTCTCTGGAATGATATAATCTCTGACTGCTCATTATGGTTTTGTTGTTGTTGTTGTTTTACTTTATATTTTTGTCATTGAGAATCCTTTTTTACAGTGAATATACATTGTTTTTGGAATTGGATAAGACATCATCTATTTTGAGAGAAAGAAACCTGTTTAGCAGTGGGACCTAATAATTTCATTTACCTTTTCAACTTAACTGACTAGTTACAGCATTCTTATTAATGAAATATTAAAAACTTGTTATTTTGATTCAGGAAAATGGGACCAATACTGCTGATCTTGTTCGAAATTCCAGTTGGGCAAAAAATGGCTCCTACCAAGGTGCTCTTCATAACGCCTCTGAAGAAGCCACAGAACAAAACATACGAGCTGGTACCCAGGCAGTTTTGCAGGTGGATCACTTTATGGCTATTTTTAAAAATAAAATAATCATTAAATATTTCAGTTCAGTATTTCAGTATACAGTATACTTTTCACAATATAATAAATTCACCACCTACATTTATCATTATGCCATATTATTTTTATTTTTTCCTTTCATCACTTAATATATATGTATTAATAAACATTACATATTATTCTAGAGAATTTTAAATGTTATATAAATTATGTCATGACATACTGTCATCTGCAACTGATTTTTTTATTAGCCATTCTGTTTATGAGATTTGTTGTTACTATGCAGCCGTAATTCATTTTAACTATTTTGTGATATTGTAGTTTATTTCACATTTTACTTATTCATTTTTCTGTTAATGGTCTTTTGTTTCCAGTTTTTCACTATTCCACATAGTACTACAGTGAACTTTTTTTTTTTTTTTTTTTTTTTTTGAGATGTTGTTTTCACGCTTGTTGCCCAGGCTAGAGTGCAATGATGTGATCTCGGCCCACTGCAACCTCTGCCTCCTGGGCTCAAATGATTCTCCTGCCTCAGCCTCCCAAGCAGCTGGGATTAAAGGCGCGTGCCACTGTGCTTGGCTAATTTTTGTATTTTTAGTAGAGATGAGGTTTTACCATGTTGGCCAGCCTGGTGTTGAACCTCCTGACCTCAGGTGATCCACCCACCTCAGCCTCTCAAAGTGCTGGGATTATAGGTGTGAGCCACTGCACCTGACTGTGAATATTCTTTTTTTTTGAGATGGAGTTTCACTGTTGTTGTCCAGATTGGAGTGCAGTGGCACGATCTCGGCTCACTGCAACCTCTGCCTCCTGGGTTCAAGCGATTCTCCTGCCTCAGCCTCCCAAGAAGCTGGGATTGCAGGTGCCCACCACCATGCCCGGCTAATTTTTTTATATTTTCGGTAGAGATGGGGTTTCATCATATTGGCCAGTCTGGTCTCAAACTCCTGACCTCAGGTAATCCACCCACCTTGGCCTCCCAAAGTGCTGCGATTATAGGCGTGAGCCACCGCGCTCCGCTGTGAACATTCTTATACATGTATTTTTATATGCCTCTGGGAAAATTTCCCTAGGGTATATACCAAAAGTGGAATTACCGAGTTGTAGGATGTGTACATTAATAACTTTAATATTATCGGCCAATTGTTCTCCACTTTGTCAGAATAATTTACATTCCCTCTAGTAGTGTTTGGGAGTTGTCATTTCCTTATGTTCTCCCTATTGCACTGTCAGATTTTAATTTTTTGCTAGTCCTTTACATGTGAAATATTGACTCATTTTAAAAAAAGGTTTGTGTTTTTCCATTTTAATTTGCTTTTCCTTCATCAGTACTGAATTTGAGCATCTCTTCTTATCTATGAATTCATATGCTTTTCCATTATTTTGGGTGTTGGTCTTAATGGTTTGTAGGAGTTCATTATATTCATTCACTTTTTTTTTTGAGATGGAGCCTCACTCTTGTCACCCAGGCTAGAGTGCAGTGGCGCAATCTCGGCTCACTGCAACCTCTGCCTCCCAGGTTCAAGCAAATCTCCTGCCTCAACCTCTTGAGTAGCTAGGATTACAGGCATGCGCCACAATGCCTGGCTAATTTTTGTATTTTTAGTAGAGATGGGTTTTTGCCGTGTTGGCCAGGCTGGTCTTAAACTCCTGACCTCAAGTGATCTGCCTGCCTCAGCCTCCCAAAGTGTTGGGATTACAGGCGTGAGCCACTGTGCCTGGCCAGTCATTCACTTTTTAAATCAAACTGTCCTTGTCAAGGCCACATGTGACCTCTACATTGTTAAATCAGATGTACATTTTTTCAGTCCTAATCCTGCTTGATTAGAAGCATTTACAGGGTAGATCATTCCCTCCCCATTGAAATGCTTCTTTGCCTGGCCTCCAGAATAGCATATCTTCCTGTTTCTTCTCACTTCATTTTCCACTTCTTAAAGCAGATTCTTTCACTGATTTTTCTGTAAAGCCCTGACCTTTTCATGTTGAAGTGCCCAGGAATCAGTTCTTGGATCTCTTATTCTCTTGTCTCATCCATATAGATGGCTTTAAATATCATCTATATGCTACAGCTTCAGATTTTTATAAGTAGTCTAGGATCTCTCATCTGAACTCTGTGAATCCGTAACTAAAATATTCAGATATCAAGTTGTCATTTTCACTTGACTATCTAATAAGTATCTCAAATTTCAGTGCTTTTCCTGCAGTCTTCCTTGTTTCATTTATTGGCAACTCTGTTTTCCATTTACCTTAATGTTTGTCTAATTTAACGACAAATCCTGTCTGCTCTCCCTTCATAATGTGTATGGAATCTGACTACTGCTCAGCACACACACTACGTCTTTTGTCTAAGTCTCTACAATCTTTCATCTGTAATATTGTGGTAAGTTTCTAATTAGTCTCCCTGCTTCTGCCCTGCGCACCTGTCACTCTGGTCTGACCAGAGGGATCCTGTAAAATGTAAGTCAAATTATGTCATTTTTCTGCTCAGAACCCTCTAGTGGCTTTCCATTATCGCTAGGCAGCAATGCAAAAGTCTTTATAATGGTCTATAAGGCTTTATATCATTGCTCCTTAGAGTGTGGTCCATAGACAAGGGCTGGCCCACAGCATAACTGCAAAACTGAGAGTAAAAGTTTAGAAATGAAATAATTTATTATCTCTTGATTCTGTTAAAAAGTTTGCATTTGAATTTTGTCTTACTCTTTTTTCATTTCCTTTTGTCTATTCATTTTTCCCCCAGTTGATAATCTTTATTTTTATTTTTTATTCTTCCATAGGTTATTGGGGTACCAGTGGTATTTGGTTACATGAGAAAGTTCTTTAGTGGTGATATGAGATTTTGGTGCACCTATCACCCGAGCAGTATACAGTGCACCCTATTTGCAGTCTTTTATCCCTTATCCCCTCCCACCCTTCCTACAAGTCCCCAAAGTCCATTGTATCATTCTTATGCCTTTGTGTCCTCATAGCTTAGTTCCCACATATCAGTGAGAACATACGATGTTTGGTTTTCTATTCCTGAGTTGCTTCACTTAGAATAATAGTCTCTAATCTCATCCAGGTTGCTGCAAATGCCATTAATTCATTCCTTTTCATGGCTGAGGCAGTATTCCATTGTCTATATGTACCACAGTTTCTTTATCCACTCATTGATTGATGGGCATTTGGGTTGGTTCCACAATTGGAATTGTGAGTTGTGCTGCTATAAACTTGCGTGCTATAAACTTGTTGTGTGCATCACAAGTTTAAGTTTGTGTGCTATAAACTTGTGTGCTGCTATAAACTTGTTTTCATATAATGACTTGTTTTCCTCTGGGTAGATACCCAGTAGTGGGATTGCTGGATCAAAATGGTAGTTCTACTTTTAGTTCTTTAAGGAATCTCCACACTGTTTTCCATAGTGGGTGTACTAGTTTACATTCCCACCAACAATGTAAAAGTGTTCCCTGATCACCACATCCATGCCAACATCTACTGCTTTTTGATTTTTTTTTTTTTTATTATGGCCATTCTTGCAGGAGTAAGGTGGTATTGCATTGTGGTTTTGATTTTGAGCATTTTTTCATATGTTTGTTGGCCATTTGTCTATCTTCTTTTGAGAATTGTCTATTCATGTCCTTAGCCCACTTTTTGATGGGATCTTTTTTTTTTTCCTTACTGATTTGTTTGAATTCATTGTAGATTTTGGATATTAGTCCTTTGTCAGATGTCTAGATTGTGAAGATTTTCCCCTACTCTGTGGGTTTTCTCTTTACTCTGCTGACTGTTCCTTTTGCTGTATAAAAGCTCTTTAGTTTAATTAAGTCCCAGCTGTTTATCTTTGTTTTTATACTGCTTTGGGGTTCTTGGCCATGAAATCCTTGCCTAAGCCAATGTCTAGAAGGGTTTTTCCAATGTTATCTTCTAGAATTTTTATAGTTTCAGGTCTTAGATTTAAGTCCTTAATCCATCTTGAGTTGATTTTTGTGTAAGATGAGAGATGAGGATCCAGTTTCGTTCTGCTACACGTGGCTAACCTATTATTCCAGCACCATTTATTGAAAAGGGTGTCCTTTCCCCACGTTATGTTTTGGTTTGCTTTGTCAAAGATCAGTTGGCTGTAAGTATTTGGGTTTATTTCTGGGTTCTCTATTCTGTTCCACTGGTCTCTGTGCCTATTTTTATACCAGTACCACACTGTTTTGGTGACCATGGCCTTAACAGTATAGTTTGAAATCAGGTAGTGTGATACCTCCAGATTTGTTCTTTTTGCTTAGTCTTGCTTTGGCTATGTGGGCCCTTTTTTGGTTCCATATGAATTTTAGAATTGTTTTTTTCTAATTCTGTGAAGAATTACGGTGGCATTTTGGTAGAGATTGCGTTGAATTTGTAGATCACTTTTGGCAGTATGGTCATTTTCACAATACTGATTTTACCCATCCATGAGCATAGGATGTGTTTCCATTTGTTTGTGTTATTTGTGATTTCTTTCAGTGGTGTTTGTAGTTTTCCTTGTAGAGGACTTTTGCTTCCTTGGTTAGATATATTCCTAAGTATTATTATTATTATTATTATTATTATTATTTTGCAGCTATAATAAAAGGGGTTAAGTTCTTGATTTGATTTTCTGCTTGGTTGCTGTTGGTGTATCTCCTGTTTTGTTTCTTAATGAGCTTATTTGGATTTTCTCTTCTTTTCTTGATTACTCTTTCTAATGGTCTATCAATTTTATTTATCTTTTCAAAGAACCAGTTTTTTGTCTCATTTATCTTTTTGTATTTCGTTTGTTTTCATTTAGTACTGCTCTGATCTTGGTTATTTCCTTTCTTCTGCTGGGTTTGGGTTTGGTTTGTTCTTGTTTCTCTAGTTCCTTGAGGTGTGACCTTAGACTGTCAGTTTGTGCTCTTTCAGTCTTTTTTGATGTAGGTTTTTAGGGCTATGAACTTTCCTCTTAGCACCACCTTTGCTGTATCACAGAGGTTTTGATAGATTGTGTCATTATTGTCATTCAGGT